TAATTTTCCTTTTCGTCAGTCCCGATGTGCTTCCCCTGTTATTCGTCACACCAAATCATCAACGTAGAATTGTCTTGGATTAATTTGAGTTAAACTTCCTTGCCATCATCCTTTTGGCAGCTTCAGCGACTATTGCTGCTTGACCACGTGCTTCATCCAATAAATCTAGATTAACTGCAAGGGATTCGTCATTTGCTGATTCATTGAATTGTTGTCTTCAATATGATGGCTCTCCAATCTCAACCGGCACCATGGCATCAATACCATAGGTCAACCGGAAAGGTGTTTCTTTTGTGGTTGTCTGTGGTGTACACCGATAAGCCCATAAGATCTCGGACAACTTTTCTGCCCATTCCCGAACCCAATCGTCTCCTAAGTTCATGTAAAATGATCTTGTTTGCAGCCTCTGCTTGTCCATTGGATTGAGGATGTTCCACAGATGTAACCATGTGTTTGATATGCAACCCTTCTAAGAACTCATTGAATTTCCGATCTGTATATTGTAGCATGTTATCTGTAAGCAGGGTATGAGAGAGACTGAAACGTGTGATGATATTTTTTCAGGTGAATTTTTGGACGTTGTTGGCCGTGATGGTGGCGAGTGGCTCTGGTTCGATCCATTTACTAAAGTAATCTACGGCAACAATCACTAATCTTCTAGTCTCTGCCCTAGTGGGATGATGTCCTTCTGTACGTAGCTAAAGTGGGGAGGCCACCTGCAAAAGACACTCCGATGCTGAAGTTAGATGTCGGTTCTGAGTAACAAATACTATTTTAATAATAATCCGAAAAATCCCCTTAACCTAGAATTCCTACCTTTCTTTTATAGACTTTGTTATGGGTTAATGGGCTTGAGTTATCTTAACTTTGGCCCTTTAATTAGTTTTGGCCCTTTAATTAAAGTAAATAATATTTTAATTATTATCATCAATTAAGTTAATTACCTCTTAATCTGATGAGGGTATTTAGTTATATTAATTGAATGGCAGTTACCTTTTCCTACGAATAAGACCGAGTAAGGCTCTATCCAGTACACTAGCCCCCTGAGCCTGACGAGGTACGAGGCAAGGGCTTAATAATAATACCAACATCAAGGTTTATTAGGCCGAAGGGGTAGTCGGTTTCTTCTTTCTACAATTAAGTCTGAATAGTGTCTTACCTGGTACAGATATAATTATAATGCATGTATTGTAATGCATTGATTAATATGATTATAATACACGTATTATAATATATTTTTTGATGTAAGAATATATAAAATGATATGAGCCTAGTTTATGTTCGAAAAATACCGATTATATCATTGTTTTCATGTTTGATATGGTGTAAAATTTGTTAATATAATATATAAGTTAACATTATCTTAGTCCATATTGTATTAGATGATATTTCTGTATTACATAATTTATTTATAAAATAAAAGATTTAGAGGATGGGAATACTCTTACGAATTATTTTCTAAAAAAAAAAAAATTGATTTAATTTAGAATCATCAGATTATAAAAAAGAATTGCTCTGATGGTGTTTAGATTAATTCAAGTATTGTAATAATTTTAATTAACAAAAGTATATAAATATTTTTTATTTCAATTTTAAATTTATGATACTTAATTAAAATTTTGTTATAACAAGTAATTTAAAGTATTTTGTAATGTTGATAATTAACTAATTTAATTATAGTTTACATTTCATTTTATATATATATAAAATTATCCTATTGACTGACAGAGTTATTTAATAGTTTAAATTTAAATATATGCGATATAAATTTTTGTTTCTACTATAACCTTTATGAATTTAAAAATTATATTTTTTAAAATTTTTTAAATATCTTTAAATTCTTATAGATAAAAAAAAATTATTTTTTTTACTTAAAAGTCTTTAAATTATAAATAAATAATTTTTTATTTTATTCTCTATTATAAAATATTATAGGTATTTGAGATATAAAATAAGGATGTTATATAGTGCTTGTGAACTTAGAGAATTCAAATCTCATAAATTTTTTCATTTCATTTTTAAAATTATATATATATATATATATATATATATATATATATATATATATATATATATATATGGAGTAAGATTTTTTTATACTGGTATAAGTTTAAAAGCTCTTACACTAAATCTGAACCTTGCATTTAACTTACATCTAATAAGTTATAATTTATTACTTTACTAATCATTAGATATAATAAGTTAAATGAAAAGTTTAAATTAAGTGTAAAAATTTTTAAACTTATATTAGTATAAGAATATCCTTTATATATATATCAAGCCCGATTTTTTTTAGGGTAGTTTAGAGGTGCGATCGCTTAGAGTCCAAGCTTAAAAGAGGGCCCAAATAAAAATTGTGTCCTACTTTCACTTGAAAAAAAATTTCAGCTCTTATAGTTTGCAGTTGGAAAAAATAAAAAAATAAACCTTTTAATTCTTCGCATCTCACTTGCTATAAACGTTCAACTCATTGACTTCTGTAAACTCAAAACTTCATTTAATTCCAAAATTTTATTATTCTTAATATTAAAGCTCATGGAGAATTTTAGTTTTCTCTAAAAAATTAAACCATTATTTAGTTTGTCAAATCTGCAGATTGTTATCAATATTTTAATCACTTATAGAATTTATTTTACGGTCCTGGTGATTATATCATCAACTGAAAGAAGTTTTTTAGAGTTAAAGTTAATCAAAACCTACCTAAAGTCATCAATGTCACAATAACCGTTGAATGGTCTCACAATTTTATCAATCAATAAAGAATTTTTTAAAAATATTAATGTTAACATTATCATTAATGATTTTGCATCTCAGAATGCTTGTAGAACCCATTTTTTTTATGATTTTTTGTATTTTTGTAGTTAATTATAACATAAAATATGTTTGAATGAAAAATATTTTTTTATAATTTTATTAGAAAAAAATTATAGCCACTTAAAAAAATTATATTATTTTAATAAAATTATTAATATATGCTTTTATTTTGTTTATTACATTTTATAATTTTTTTAAAGGGCCTTAATTTCCTATTTTGCCTAGGGTTTCAAAAAGTTAAGAATGACCTTATATATATATATATATAAATGAACCGTTGGATGGCTGGTACAAGAATGAATGGAAAATTATTCATAGGATCTGGGTCTGGAGAGTTTTCGTCTCTCTCTTCCCAAAAACTATTACCCCTTGAGTTTAGGTAGTGGCGCAGAACTCGAGGAAGAAACACATGAACAGCACATGATATGCCTCAAATTAGTTATTTCCGTGTGTTGTTTTATTTTCATCACATGATCTACCATCGACACATAGAAAAACAAATGTTTATTGTATAATGTCAGGATTTTTTTTTATATATGATATTTATAAATTATATATTAAAATATGGTACTTTTTAAAAAAAATTACAGAAATATAGGATTTAAAAATTTAAGGATAAAAAATAAAAAATCATGAATGATAATTTTAAAATAAAAATTAAATATTTAAAAAATATCAAAAAAGAGTCAAAAGTTGTTATCAACGATTTTTGGTAAAAAAAAATGATCAATAATGATTTTTTTTAAAAATGTATATTTATGTAATTTTACAAAAAAGAAATTATATTTCTGTAATTTAAAAAATATATATAAAAAAAAAAGTTTCAATGCTACCATTAAAAATAAGTGTCAAGCTCGTTTAACGTCTTAAAAGAAATGAAAAGTAATTTGCATCTCGCTAGAAAGATGTCGATTACGCTGTCAGTGCAAACAAGTTTTTTTTTTTTGATGAAATAATAAAAAAAAAGTGTTAGGGAAATTGAAAAACTTCTTTACACACTAAAAAAAATCATTTATTAAATAAAATACATTAAAATATTTTTATTAATATAACATGTTTAATAAATAAAATAAAATTATCAATAAAAACTTTAAGAAATTTTATAAATATTTGATATATAGATAACATATATAAATATTTTGTATTAAAAAATGTTAATAAATATTTTTATTTAAATCATAAGTATTTTTTATGAGAGACAATTTTGTTTTAAAATAATTTCATACTAATCTATGTTATTTTCTTTTTTTTGGTTTTTAGTTACATGTAAAAACAATGTAATAAAAAGGAACAATAAAACTACTCTCTAAGATGGACAATACTTATTTGGTCTGAAATCAAAAGGAGATTCAACCCTAAAGCGAGGTCATGAAAATAAGTAATCATGATAACGAGCATCAGATCTTGCAAATTAATTGGCACATTGATTTTCTTCTCTAAGCATATGTTGTAGAGAAACTCACTAATTTTTATTTAAAAGTTGTTGGATTAAGTTAATCACAAAAGCATACTTGTAATGTGACATAAGGATTCATAATCAAATGAATCACTTTCAAGTAGTCTATGAACGACAAGTATGGTCCATAGACCTTCACATCTTGCAATTCAGTATGTATGTTATCAGAAGTTATGGGGCTCCCATAGAACTCAATGATCCAAACACCATTACAATTGCAAATAAGACCACTAAAACCTACCTAAATTACCAAAGCTGCTACCATCCACATTCAAAGAAAACAAAAACACAGACTTTCATCATGCAAAAGTTTAGGAAAGTAGTAGGTCAATTTATTGGCGACGAGTTAAATAGAAGTAACCAACTGATGATCCATAATATGGAGAAGAGAGCTTTGTGAGAATGGAGGAATGTCCTCAACCAGATCGATGGATTTTGATTCCCAAAGAAAGTAGACACTATAATGAATCCCATCAAGTTCTAGACATGGGAAGCATGCACACAATCTCTGGGACATTGCATGATGGTTTCCGGAGATGAAAAACAACGAGTGCACAAATCAAAGGAACACATCATCCTATGAGTCTTCATACCATTGGTGGAAAGAAAGTCATGAAGATTGAGCCACATTAGAAATTTGAATGTCTTGGGAAGATGAAGCTTCCAAATCCAAATCCACTCATTATCTGAGTATGTCTACACCTCTTAAAAAGCCAAAGATAGCCTTTACAAATAGAATATTAATATTAATATTAATTTTGCATTCTAATACTTGTTGATGAACTTTAATACAAGATGAAGAAAAGAAATCTAGTATTCGAGGTACTAGTCCTCTAAAGAAGAAGTTTAGTAATAAGCCAAAATTTTCATATCCTTTCAAATGGATTCTTACAATTGATATAAGCAATTCTCACTCCCTAACGGATACCTACAAACAAAAAAGAACAACATGTATCTTAACAGAAAAAGATTCCAAATCTCCTTTCATGAACATAAGCAAAACATAATTGCTAATAACAGAAAAAGGTAATTAAGGAACTATATTCTTAGTGGATGAATTCATTCGAGCCAGCTGACCTTGAGGTTTGTCTCGAGTTCTTCCTTATGTGTTTTGGTTCATTACTTGGCCCACTCTCACCAATTGGGTTGTTGGTGTCACTTGGCCCAATAGTGCCTCCATCTGTATCAAACTTCTAAAGTGAGAGGAGTAAAAAGGTGAGATAAGCCTTAGGAAGGCCCATTCCAAACGTTCTTAATACATAAATAGCAATCATAAATATGCACATAAGAGAGCTTTGGAACAATAGATCCTTTACCTGCCCAATTGACAAACCAAAAAAAGAAGCATTACCACAATCAACCTTGTACTCAAAACTAGTTTTAAGCTTAGAAACAGCCAATTGGATAGCATTCTAGGTGCAAGACCCATTGACCCAATAATGCCTCCATCTGTATCATCCCTTGGCCCTTGGAGAAAAACCTTGTCCTCAAGGTTAAAGGTCTGTTTGATATCCGTCCAGTACTCCCAGGTTGCTTCTTCAGGAGAAAGCCCCGTCCACTGCACCAAAACTTGAACTGTTGGTGGATCAACAGAAGTATCTTCACGATGATTCAAAATGACTAATGGTACCAACAAGGGTCCATTGTTATTAGTTTCTACAAGAAGAGTGCCTGCCTCCTTAGGTGGAACCCTAACATGTAGTTTCAAAATAGAACAGTGGAAAACAGGGTGGATCAGATAGGTTTCTCGTAAAGCCAACTGATATGCCACCGCCCCAATGCGACTGAGAATCTGGAAAGGGCCAAATTAGTGCTTAGCTAACTTGTGGGGAGTGCAACCAACCACAGAAGTCTGGCGATATGGGTAGAGTTTGACATACACTCAGGTTCCTACGTCAAACTGGACGTCATGATGATGGACATCCGCCAACTTCTTCATGCGCTCCTGGGACTTGTGTAAGTTCCTGCATAGCTTAGCTAACAGAGTATCGCGAGAACTGAACATTTCCTTGACTGCCTCCACTGGGAATTGGCCCAGTAAATATCTCGGTAACGAAGGAGGAGCACGATTGTACACAATCTTAAAAGGGGTGTAGCTTGTATCTGAATGGACAGAAGTATTGTAACACCATTCCGTATGGAATGTAGTGACTCCAGTGAGAAGTTTGATGGTGGCAAACGGCCTGTAAGTATTGCTCAAGGGTGTGGTTGAGTACTTCGGATTGCCCATTCATTTCCAGGTGATAAGCATATAACATATGCAGCTGAGTGCCACAGGCCTTGAGCAATTCTTGCCAAAATTTGCTCAAAAATAGAGAATTGCGATAAGAGATAATACTCGTGGGCATTCCCTGGAGTTTAGCCACCAAATTAATAAACAAAAGGACCACCTGATAAGCAGAATACAAAGTGGGCAGAGGGCCGAAATGGGAGACCTTAGAAAAATGATCGACGACCACCAAAATAGTTGTATACTCGCAGGATGGAGGGAGGTCAGTGATGAAATCCATGGCCAAGTCTTCCTAGACAAGAGTGAGTGGGGAAATAGGTTGGAGGAGCCTCGCAGGTTTTTGAGGAATGTACTTAATTTGTTGATAGGTAACACATTTGTGGATAAAAAACTTGAAATCCTTAGACATCACTGTCCAAAATTTTTTTTCTTGCAATCAATTGAGGGTCTTGACCAATCCTAAGTGACCACCCAAAGGAGTTGAATGAAATTCTGTCATTAGAATCTCATGGAAAAGGGAAGATGAGGGCAACTAAATTCTCCCCTTGAAGAAGATAAGGCCATCCTGCAGTTTGTAGTCAGCTACAGATGCAACACCCTGTTCAATGTCCTATTTCATGGAGTCAAAATGCTTATCAGAGTGAAACGTTGTGCGTAATTTCTCCAAGAATTGGAACTGAGGAACTGTAATGACATAAAACTGAGAGGTACTCTGTTCTCAGGAAGGCATGACAGGGCATCTGCCGCAGTGTTGGTGTGACCAGGGTGATATTGAATCGTATAATTGTACCCAAGCTTACTCATGTAAAACTGTTGTTCCAGAGTCTGCACAGTTTGAGTTAAGAGATCCTTTAGGGGTTTATGATCTGTTTTTATGATGAAGTAATTGCCCAAGAGGTATTGCCTCCACTTTTTATAGCTACTATAACGGCATGGAGCTCTTGCAAATAGATGGAAGCTTGCATCATACGGGGACATAATTTCTTACTGAAAAATGCACTGGCTTTTGGTCCTGATGTAAAACTACCCCCATGGCAGTACTAGAGGCATCAAATTGAACCACAAATAGTTTTTCGTAAAATCTGGTCAAAGCAGTAGACATGGCATGTTTAAGCTGATCAAATGCCTTTTGAGCCTGTGGAGACCACTGAAATGCTTTCTTTCGCAAGAGGGGAGACGCTAAGGAAGCGTAACTATTGATGAATTTGCGGTAGAACCCCGTGAGATGAAGAAAACCATTCAAGACCTTGACAAAAGTAGGGGTTGGCCAAGAAGTCATAGCTTAAATTTTGGAACGGGCAGGACCAACTGAACCTGCACTGACTATGTGTCCCAAATATTCCACCTGTTGCATAGCAAAACAACATTTGGGCAATTTCAAACAGAATTGGTTAGTCAGAAGCAATTGAAAAGTGGTTTCCAAATGAAATAAATGATCAGCCCAAGAAATACTACAGATAAGGATATCATCGAAGAAGACGATAATAAATTTGCGTAAATGGGGCCAGAATAAATCATTCATGGTGGCTTGAAATGTTGCTGGGGCATTGGAGAGTCTGAAAGGAAGCATGCGAAACTCATAGTGGCCATCTTGAGTGAGAAAAGCGATCTTGTGCATATCCTTTGGGGTCAAGCGAATCTGATGATAGCCCTTTAGAAGATCCAACTTGGAGAACCAAACATCAGCACCCAATTCATCGAGCAATTCGTTAATTGTCAGAATTGGAAAGCTATCCAGGACGGTGATCGCATTAAGTGCTTGACAATCAACGCAAAAGCGCCATGTATAGTCCTTTTTCTTCACCAAGAGAACAGGGGAAGAAAAGCACTGATGCTTAGACGAATTTCCCTCGTGGCGAGCATGCAGGCTACCTGAGTCTCAATCTCCTTCTTCTGAGAATATGGACTGAATTTGGAAAAAAGGAATTGTGTGGTCTGTTGGGTGCTCTGGTGGAAGCGGAGTGGGTTCCACGAAAAGGGCTTGGTAGTGGTGGAGTAAGGCAGACACATCTAGGTGGGTAGAACTGGAGATGGAGAAGAGTTGGATAGGGATAGGGGTAGGGGCAGGAACTAGAGAGAGATGGTAGCACTCCAAGATCTGTTCCCAATGCGATAAACAGCGCAACTGGTGGATCAAAATGGCCATGGGCTCAGGTTGTGTATCCCTTAGAAGCTTCACCATTTTACCATCCCACATAAATTGCATAGTGAGCTTTTCATAATCTATTAGGACTAGGCCCAAACTTTGTAACTTGTGCACCCCAAAACAGCTCAAGCCCACGTAGATCAATCAATGGCAATAGGTAAAATATCTGATAAGAACTCACAAAATTTATCTACAATGAGTAGGATATTTATCCGCTATACGGGTACAGGTATGAGTATAGGTAAAAACTCGCAAATTTTAATGAGGATGGCTACGAGTATGGGTATCTAAGTACCCACCCCGCCCCATACCCGCATATATATATATATATATATATATATATATATATATATATATATATATTCTTGAACTTTGTTCTACAATTATACATTGAATTTTTGTATTATTATATTACTTATGTGAAGTTATATAAGATTAATATAAAAATCTATTTAATAATAAAGTAAACTAAAAAATTTATTTTGGTTTATATTTTTAATAGAAAAATTTATTTACTATTTTATATCATTTAATTAAGCTAACACAATTTAATTATTACATAGTTAATATGAGATTGACTTTTTAAAAATATTATTTATATATGACACACATAAAATATTTTTTACACAAATATTTTTGTTAATAAAATCATATTAATATTTAAATCATAAAGTGAATGATAAATAATAAATATATTATAAATATTTTATAAATTTTACAATCACCTACTATTACCGTAAATTTATTATTTATTAATAATATTTAAATTTTATTTTTATATTTTAATTTAAAATAATATTTTTCTATGTAACATATGTATTACAAGCACAACTATAATCTATTGAATCTAAATAATATTATTCTTACTATTTATTCATATTCAAAGAAGTTTTTGAAAAGATATAAATATAAAAAGTTATTGTTAATTTTTATTTGTTAATTTTTTTAAGATAAAAAAGTATAATTTTTTTAATATACACATATATTTCTTTATTATAAAATTTTATTGTAACTATTTATCTTTTATTCAATTTTTTTTTAAATTTATATATATTATAAATATTTAATTCACTAAAATAATTTTTCAAAAATTTATATTTTTGATAAAATACTTTCGTATAGTATATGAGTTAAAAAATACTAGTATTAATATATATATATATATATTAATTATATTATATTATTTTAATTAAATCTATTATTTTTCTTACAATTTCAAATTCAAAAGTTAAAAAAAAAACTATGTATCAACTTTTTATTGTTAGTATTGAACTTCTCTACTCTAATTCTATTCTTATTCTCAATGTCTGTCTCACTAAAACTTAATAACTATGAAATGTTATTCATTAGAGTTAGTTGTTAATGCTGTTACAAGAGATTACTAAGTGATCCCACACGAGGGACAATGTACAGATCTATTTGGTTGTCGTTCTGAAATTACCAGTCAATCAAATCTCACACAAGATAGGATTATCACTGACGAATAACTTAGTGTTTAATTTTGCTTATTGTTTCTAAGAATTTTAGTTTAAAAAATTATTATATTAAGATACATTTAATATTTATGATTTTGAATGTTTGACAACTACATATTGAATTTTTGTATTATTATGTTATTTATGTGAAGTTATATAAACATATTTTTCTTTATAAATATTTTTTTTCTCAAACAAGCGCGGGTAATGAGTACAAGACGGGTATGCGAGTACCTAGAGGTACGGTTACAAAGATTAATATTCATATTCACGCAGGTATAGGATCAGATACGAGTATTTTTTTAAAATGCGGGTATGGAGATGGGTTCTGTAGTACCCTATCTATAGTACCATATCCATACCTTACCTGTTATGATCCCTAATTCGAGTTTTTCTAAATCCTGCACTAGAAGGAAAAATGAGATTTACAGTGATGGTCAGGGCTGTATTTCTCGTCGCAATTGTAGCAAAGTCCTTTGTCACGAGAACTTGCATTTTCGAGGTGGAGAGACGCTTATAGGGAATGGCCTGGGAGGACGATGTGGGTAATAACAGTGGTCGTGGTGTTGCCAGGGATGGGCGCAGAGTCGAGGGGTAGTGGGGTCGTGAAGAAACTGTGGCAGAACCAAAATTGTTCTCCTAAAGCTTTGCCAATTCCGCCGCCTCCGAAAATTGACTAGTTGAAAGGCTAGAACCTCCCGATTGAATGTCGGGGCGCAACCCAGAAATAAAACACTCAAGCATGAACAAAGGAGGGACATCTGTGATACGATTGGCGAGGCTCTCAAATTCAGTGAGATACTGCAGGACCGAACATGTTTGTGAGAGCTTGCACAAATGACCTTTCATGTTTTGAAAACAAGAAGGGGCAAATTGTGCCTCAAGAGAATGGAGAAATTCTGGCCAAGTACAAAGCATGTTATTGCGTTCCATCCACGAACTAGCTAAAGGCAGGACCATCCAGGTAGAAGGAAAGGATTTGTAACCGTTCAACTTCGGGTATTTGATGGTACTCGAAGAAACGGGTAACTGCAAAAATCCAATCCAAAGTGTTGGAACCATCAAATTGCGGATAGTCTAAGCGAATCTTGGGAGTGGCTCTTGACGATGAGGAATGGTTTGGTTTGCAGTGCGAAGACGTCATTGGAAAGGCCATCAATGCACTCGGTGAGGCGAGCCACTTGTTCAATCAAAAGATACACAGAGGCTTGAGAAGCCATTGAAAGCACCAGATGATAGAAGATGAAGAAAAGAAATCTGGTATTCAAAGTACTAGTTCTCTACAGAAGAACACAATCTCTACAACAATATTTTTCCTTGAACATTTGTACCCACAACTTGTTATCTTCATGCAAAAGACACCAAATTAATTTGTCATGCAAGACTATATTACAGAGTTCTATGTGTTTGATGGTTTTTATCAAGGTTATTTTTGTTATTATATTATATTGCTAATAAAATTTAAAATGTCAATATTAATAATTTAAGTTTTATTAAAAATTATATTAACATGCTAATTTAATATTAAATTAGTAACAAATAGGTTTTTTTTTTATTAATGACAGTTGATATTTTTTAATTTTCAAGTATGCAGATGAGAAATTTTTACTCATTTCCTTTCAAGAAGTTAGTATAAATTGAAAGGAGTTATTAACCACATGTAATAACAGAATGCGTCTGATTAGAACCCTAAAATCTCATGAATAAGCTTCCTCGTCAATCATCATGTGTATTGAAAATGAAGTTGTCTATCATCGCGATTTATCTACTACGTTACTTGTGAAGCCTGATTAATGGTTAATTAATCACTCAACTACAAGACTTCGGTAGTCATAGCTCATGATTTCGATACTAACGAAATAATGATGTGATTTCAGTTGAGTTGGATGGTCCATCTGATATAATACAACCACGAAGAAAAGTATAAAGATTGGCAGATAAGTTTAACATAGAAGTATAATTAAAATTTTATGCAATAATTTTTTTATTGAGTTAAATGATATATAATAAAAAATAAAAAATAATTTTTATTTAAAATTATAATATTTTCATATTATTAATATATTAAATTTTATTATATATAACTTTTTGTTATATATTTTAAATAGACGTGTAAAAACATACCAACATACAAGACTACAAAAATAAACAAACTACACCGTTGACGGAAGAGAGGTACTCTTTGATGTAACTGGTTTAGATGTCAAACACATCAAGGATAAGCCTGGACTGAAAATATACTTGACTATGATATTTTGTATAATGGAGTAAATAGGACATTATAATAAAATAAAAATGGCATGCGCGCGTGTATAATGCTAGTATGTGTAACAAATATTGAGTATTAGCCAACTGCATATAAACTATTTTACATAAATTTTGTAACAAGTGAATTAGTGTTGATCTATAGTGAGAAATTAAAATTCATTATTAAAATTTTTTTGTTAATAGCAAATTATTTGCGATAGAAATAATTTTATCATTGTAATAACTTATGATTTAGTCATTATTATTAAAAAATGTTAATGATAAAAGAAAAATTATTCATAAATAATATATATATTTATTGGAATGTGCAAGCAAAGTCTCACATTAACTAAAATCGTGGAGGATCAAGAGCATATAAGTATGATAGATCTTCATTAGTATGAGACTTTTTGAAGGATGTCCAAAAATAAAATTACGATGATTTAATTACAAAGTGGACAATATCACACTAGTATGGAGATGAGGGGAGAGAAATTGTTGAGATGTTTAAAGTCTATACTTGTTCAAACAATATTTAAGTGACAAATTTTATATTTATAATTAAATTTTAGTCACGCTAGCTATAAAGTGAGATTAGTACATTTTTAATTAAAGTTGTATAATGATCAATGAAGCAATGTTAAGTGCTGGTTTGGTGATTAAGATATTTAGAAAATGTCACTCTCCCATTAAATTATTTTCTCTAAAAAGGTAAATCATCTCAGCTTAGCCCATTAATAAATATATTTAGGCAACAGTGATTTGGTCTTAAAATTAATTTAACCTTATAATGATAAAAGAGTCACACAATTTAACTTTACATATAAAATTAATATAGATTTAATTACTGAATATAAAACACATCTAATTTGAATATAGTGTCGTATTCACATTTGTGGACAGAAATTACATTGTTCGATATTTCATATTTTAATTCTCATGCATAAAATTAATATTAGTTTGAAAAAATAAATTAATATTTTATTCTTTTATTATCGTTCATTAATATTTTTTATTTTATGAGTATTATTAAATTAAATTATTTAAATGAAAATTAAATTAAAATAAAAAAATATTTAGCTTGAAAAAATTACATGACATAATAAAAAAGACCATTAATACTTAAAAATAATTTTATTTAAGAGTGGAGGAAGAAAGTTAGCGATTACAAAGAACAAAAAAAGAAATGACACATATCTTTACTACAAAAATGCTCTAAAAATTGATTTAGAAATGCAAAAAACTAGCTGAAAAATTCATCAAAAAATAAATACTAAAATTCATTAAAAATAAAATTTTAGAACTTTTATTAATAATCAAACCCAAACTAATTAGACTCCCGTCTATGAAAACATGAAAACTTTTTTAATTATAGGAATTGAAGAGTATTTAGGTGCAACTTCTAACTCATTTGAATATTCTTTTTCTTTAGCTCCATGATTAAACTTTGTAAAACTTGTTTCATCTTCTTAGTTTTGACTTTAGTGATTAAACTTCCAATTTTATGTAGAGTCTTTTATCGGGTTAATAGATCTCTATTAATGTTATATATGATAGGCTTAATTATATTTTTTGTCTCTATAAATGTTAGTTATTTTGTGATAAGTTTCTATAAAATTTTTTGTTAGGATTTAGTCGAGTAAAATTGAAAAATTAGAATTAGTCCTTGTTGTTAACCCTTTTTTTGTTAGGTGAGCCAGTTCAGCACTCCACGTGGCATACTATGTCATTTTTTTATTATTTAAAATTAAGATTTTTAAATAAGTCCCTAAACTTATTTTATATAATTACATAAAAGTCTTTTTTCTTCTCTTTCTACTTCTCCACACTCTTTTTTCGACACTTCTCCTCCACCTCTACCCCCTCCCTTTTACTCCATCTTCACCCCTTCTTCTTCTCCACACTCCCATCCGCACCACCCCTCTTACCCACCCATTTCCATTCCTCTATCCCATCACCTCTCTCTCCCACCCACTTCCATTTTTCTATCCACACCACTCTCCTCCCACACCCGTTCCCATTCCCCATCTGCATCACCCCCATTTCCCACACTCCTCTCCTTCCAACACCCACATCCGCACCACCTCTTCCCTACACCCCTCTTCCTCCAACACCCAAACTTCTACCCCATCCGCAACACCTCTCTTTTTCACTCCTTTTCCATTCCTCCCATCCGCATCACCCCATCTTCTTTCTCTCCCTTTCCTATTTCTCACACCCTCACCACTCTCTCTCCCTCCCTCAACCCTTTCCCTTTCCCTTCCCTCCACCCTAACTCCTTCCCTGTTATTCTACTTTCACTCCTTCCCCTATCCCACTCCTAACTCCTCTCCTTCCCCTAATCTGCATCTCCATTTCCAATTTGTTCCTCACTTTTTTTTCCTAATAAAATTTTGTGTGTTTTGGATATTGAGGGGTTATGTGAATATTCTACGTTGAGTGATAGAACATTAATTTGAAACACGTACAAAGTTTAAAATTGAGTGTGGGGAAGGGGAAAGAGTAGGGGTGGGGGAAAGGGTGTTGGAAAAGGGTTGTGAGGAGGTTAGGGGAGATCGAGGCTGGGGAGAAAAAAGAAAAAAGTTAAAAGGGCTTTTCTACAATTATGTAAAATATGTTTAGGGATTTATTTATAATTATATAATTTTAAATAAAAAAAATTGAATCACATTGCATGCCACATGGCATCATGTAGGTGTGTTAATACTCCATCAGCTAGCTTAGCACTTAATATAAGAGAATTAACAGTAGATACTAAATCTTAATTTTTTAACTTTACGGGGACTAAATCCTAACAAAAAATTTATAAGAGTTTATCACAAAATGCCCCATATTTATAAAGATAAAAAATATAATTAAGCTTATATGATAACCTCTCTCAATTTTAAAGTACATTTCAAAAGATAAAATAATAATTGAAGTAGAAAAGATATAAGTTAAAAAGACATTAATTTTACCATAGTTAAATAAACAATAATTAAATGTATATTTTTAATATTACGTGACACATCCACCTCTATAAATTTTATGTATTAATTTAAACTCTATTTTTTTTTTCCACAAAATTAAGCTATACTCTACTTATTAAATAATGTACCTTCTAATGTCGTGAATGCTTTTTATTTATTTATTAATATTATTCAATTAATGAAATTTATTTTTTAAAGATTATTTGATTAATAATTTTTTTTAATCAATTATAAATATGTTAAGATACTTAAAATAATGTTTGAGACTTTTGCAAATAAAATTTTTGAACATCGATACTTTTATATTTTATTTTATATTTTCATAAAAGTACTTTCACAATGTACGAGATATTTATTAGTTAAATAATAAATTAATATTTAATTATAAGAATTATATTAAGTAAGATTTTAAGTTAGTATACGATAGGCTATAACATCCATCTTGTAAAATAAAATATCAACACTCAGAAGATAAATAATAACATTTTATAGTTAAACTTTGCATAAAAGCTATTGGAATTTAGCATTAAGCCTTTATAAAAAATATTTGAAAATGAAAACTTAAGGGGCTATTTAATTTTAGGATTTTTTTTAATTTTCTGTTTTATTCTTTTTTTTCAAAGATTTGTGCAAAAAATGCAAAACATATATTTTTTATTTTTATTTATTCCTGCGAAAACAAAAAATTGAATAAAAAAAACAATGTCAATTTGTAATTAAGAGTGAAGACATAAAATAGAAACTCTGAATACGACATATTGGACCTCATTTCAAGTCTACCGATTTTTTTGGTTAAATAAACTTTTTAACGCCAGATTAAAACACTTATTTTTTGATTAATTTTCTTTCTTTGGTTACTTTGTTTTACTTTATGCGTAACTAACTGTTATTCTTGTTTTGTATAGTTTGGCTGTTATTTAACGTTAAAATCAGGAATGAGAAGAGGTCTGGGACCCAGTTAGCATGTCTATATTGTTATGTTCCATCCATTTCGGGCAGTTGAAGTTTCCTTCAAAGCAAGATCTGCCCTCTCTCTCTTTCTCATCTCTTCCTGGGACACTCTGTGTGGGCCTCAACTTGTTCCGTTACTCTGCCAAACCAACTACCTTTGAATTTGATTTCCAGGTATGTGCGACTCATGCAAAGGTTTCCACTTCATTTGGGGCCATTTTCTGATGCATTTGTCCATCTTTGCTCCCTTTTTTTATTACTTTTCTCGTTAATTCAGGCCTGCAAAATTGGAATTTTTTTATTGGGTTTGCTACTTCTGTTTTTCTCTCTTTAACCTTTTGGACTATAATATCTGGGTTCTTCTCCACTTGTCAATGTGCATTCTTCGTTTCTCGTTTCTATCTTTCAACTTTTGAAATTATCACATGCATTCTCGGCTTATACTATATGGGTTCTTCTCCTTATTCCCGTAAAATACATGCTACTCGTTTTTGGTTTTTGATTTTTTTTCTCTTTTAATTATAAAACTGTCAACTTATTTCACTTTTCTGTTTTAAAGATCTGGACATAAATGTTTATTTGTTTTTAAATATTTGAAAATAGAAAACAGAATAAAAACAAAAATAAAGGTAGAAAAATTGTAATGATAATGAAAAACGATTAGTGAACTAAACATCCCTGAATTTGCTTTTTGTTTTGCGAAAGTGTTGAAAGTCTTTTCTTTTTGGGGGGCGTTTTTGCTATATAGTTTCAGTTTGTAGTGCTTTTCAGTAAAAGGACTGTTACTGGTTATTTTATAGTAAGCGTTAGTCATAGATCTGTTTCCAGCGCTTTAAAGTCGGTGTTTTAATGCCCCGTTGACGTTTCACGTGCCAGTTTCCTTTCCCAATTCTATGCACGGATTATGTTTTCTCTAAGGTTTGCTTGGAATTATAAACTCATTAATTGAAACATGACCATGTTAAATTTAATTGCTTTTAATAGAAGTTTTTTCATCATATCTCCTCTTATTTTCCTCTTTATGGATGGTGTTTGTTTGGCCAGATATTAAGATCTAATATGCCTTTCCCTTCTTTTTTTTTATGAAAGCAACAGGAATTGCAAATGGGGAAAAAAGGGAGTTGGTTTTCTGCAGTCAAGAAAGTTTTCAGTCCAGATTCCAAAAAGGAAAAGGTGTAATTGAGACATTATTGTTACTTATATTCTCATCTATTTATTTCAAGATAGAAGAACTATTTTATTATAATTAATAGTTAAATTTGTTAATTTCTCTAATTAATATTTTTTTAAAATCCTAAAGACATTAATAAAAGAGTAACAATAAATATCCTCCTAAATTTTTAGATGATGATGTAAAATCATAATATGTACAGAAATTATCTCTTTCCAGGAAATTTACTTTTTTTTTTTTTTACATTATCTGTTTTCATGAACAGTACTAACTCAAACCGTTTAAATTTTTGTTGATTAAAGAAAAAGCACAAGTCAAAGAAACAAAGTGGTTACAAGGATTCGGAAGTAGCATATGCAGAAGCAGCAACCCCTCTTCCACCAATAGATAGTGTTAAAGAAAATGAACAGAACAAGCATGCATTTTCTTTGGCTCTTGCCAGTGCTGTTGCAGCAGAGGCTGCTGTTGCTGCTGCTCAGGCTGCTGCAGAGGTTGTGCGTCTCACAAGTATGCCTCACTACCATGGAAAGACCAACCAAGAAATAGCAGCTACCAAGATTCAAACGGCATTCCGCGGATATATGGTATCAACTTCTTCTCCTGATTAGTATCATGTTACTTATTATAAATCCACCGTTTATTTTACTAGTTGTAATTTTGCATTGAATTTGCTTTTATTAACTTTTCAATGTAACTCAAAACACACATTTAGTGTATGTTCAGAAATCTAATCAAATTATGTTAAATAACATTTTAATGTGAAAGCTGTAAGTTATAAAGTTGAAATTGAATCACATTTGAGTAGATTTAATACCAGTACATGTTTAAATATTCTACTTTCAATTTAACTTACATCTTCTAAACATCCATTTATTTGAACCTTAGAGTAATGCTACACAGGTAAAAAGGTGCTAATTAAATTATTATTTTTTTAATAAAAATTACAAAATTTAATATAATTAAATATATTCAAACTATTCAAGGTTTTAATTTTTAATAAAAAATGATTTTGTTATATGTCCTCAGACACATATTAATTTCTATTTTGAAAAATAAAACAAATCACACTCCGTTCGCAAATTTTGTTCATTCTGTGTTTAGAACGTAGAAGTTAGTTGATGCTGGCAGTTCACACAATATATAAATTGGATGTCCTCAGTGTGCCTAAATTTCAGAACGTTACTGAGAACTTTTTTGGCACTCTTGAATACATAATCCTCCCTTTATGTGGAGATTAATATTGATGGTTAGGTTTTCCCTAATTTAAAATTTTCTAAAGTTAAAAATACAAAAATGATCAAATAAGGAAATAGATAACAGATAATAACTCGTAGTATCAACATATGCTTTATGGTATCTGTGATGTGAGCATATATAATGTATGGTTTTGGGGCTTATAGGCAAGAAGGGCATTGCGCGCATTGAGAGGTTTGGTGAGACTGAAAACACTGATACAAGGACAATCTGTTAAGAGGCAAGCAAGTAGCACCTTACGATGCATGCAAACTCTGGCAAGTTTACAGTCTCAGATTCGCGAAAGGAGAATTAGAATGTCTGAGGAGAACAAGGCCCTTCAGCACCAACTACAGCAGAAACATGAAAAGGAACTTGAGAAGTTGCAAGTTGCTGTAAGCATTCTATGCACATTTTCTGTTCCACTGTTTTCTGTACAAATATTAGAAAACAGGAAATAAAATGAAAATAAAGTGATAATTTTATAATAAAAAATGAAAAATGAAAATAAAAATAAAAAAACGTTTCCTGGAATCTAAGGCTCCTAGAGAGAAAAGAAGAATTTGTTCCTATTTACGTGTTTACTTAAACGTTTAAGATAATATTTGCTATTATTCTACTAATACCCTTGCTCTACTAATGCCCTTTTATCTATATATATTATTTGAGTAGTCCATTAACTTAAAGGAAAAACTTATTAATAAAAGATAAACTAAAATGCTTAGCTGTTAATTTTTGAAAAATGATTGAATTCCTTTGTCTGTGTAATTTTATTATTTTTTGAACAGATAAATAATAACAAAGATAGTATATGATAAATGTTTCTTTTAAAATATGTATTGAAGCGGCAAATACTTTCACAGCAGGTTGGAGAAGAATGGGATGACAGCTTGCAGTCAAAGGATCAAATTGAAGCAAAATTGTTGCAAAAACAAGAAGCTGCTTTGAGAAGAGAGAGAGCTTTGGCCTATTCATTCTCACATCAGGTACCAAGAATAAATCCATTTTCCCATTCCTACATTAAGTCAGTTGATTGGTTCACTGATTTTTCACAAAATAGCTGAAGAAACCTAACATTTGTGCATGAAAAATTGTGGAACAGTTAAATTAGGTAAGATTAATCAGTCTTTTCTGAAGAAAATTGCATTATGAATGAGCTTAATAGAACTGGATTCAAATAAAGAAAAAATTTGAGAGAATTGATGAAGAACCTTGGAGAACCACACACGTCGTCACGGTTGGAGAGTTTAAAGCCTTGTAAACCTCATTTTAAAATCTCATATTTCTAACGTGGGACTCAAGTCTCATCATACCTTGCAATTAGAATTCTAACAATATACAGGAGATCCTTTTCTCTTCTCATTTTTTTAAGGTTGTGTTTCGATGAATGATTTAAAAATTTTAAAAAATATGAAACTAATAACGAATAATGTAAGAGTGAGAGTCAAGAAGTATGAGAAGAGTTATAAACAGTAAATGTAAAAAGTTCAGCCTAGTGAAGAAATTTTTAAATTCACTCTAAAAGAAATCATTTGAAATTCTTTTTATTTGATATAAAAATTATCTAGTTAAATTTTTGTAATATTTACTTTTTCTGAATTGTATTAACTTTGAAATAATCTGTCCAATCACAACCTTTAAGTTTATCCTTTCTAAATACTCCTGCTCTATTTATAGGCAACATGCGATACTCAACTAACTAATGGGTAATTAACTAATCTATTTTAAGCGACTACTAATGGGAGTTACAGAAAAGCATTATAGCATTTGCAGGTGAAAGAAATCACCTTAAATTACATACGAATGTTATTGAGCAATGATGTCTGACTTATAAAATAGTCATTGGATTCAAGGTTGTTTAACTTAGCCGAGATGGGAACATAGTGACAATTAACAGTAGTTATATAATTTGGATTGGTTTATAAATGTATTTGGTTCACAAACAGCAAACTTGGAAGAGCTCTTCAAAATCAGTAAATCCTACATATATGGATCCAAATAATCTTCACTGGGGGTGGAGCTGGCTAGAGAGATGGATGGCTGCCAGGCCATGGGAGGGCCAAAGCACAATGGATCACAATGATCATTCATCACTGAAGAGTGCAGCAAGTGTAGGAGAAATCACCAAAACGTATTCACTCCGCGGCAATAGTCATGATAATAGGCCTTCCCCTTTTGGCCAAAAAGCGAGAAGACATGCCACTCACAACTCCCCTTCAACTCCAGCTTCAAAGGCAAAATCTGCTACTGGAAAGGTAAGGCCATCAAGCTCAAAGGGTAGTGCATGGGGTGGTGATGAAGACTCAAGAAGCATGCTAAGTGTTCAGTCAGAACGTTATCGCAGACATAGCATTGCAGGATCCTCAGTGAGAGATGATGAAAGCCTTGCAAGCTCACCTGCCATTCCAAGTTACATGACACCCACAAGTTCAGCAAAGGCCAAGTCCAAAATCCAAAAGCCATCACCTGAAAAAGGAGCCGCTGCTGTTTCTGCCAAGAGGCGACTTTCTTTCTCCCCTTCTTCGGCTGGTTCAAGAAGACATTCTGCTCCTCTTATGGTGGAAATGGTTTCCAAAAAAGATGTTGCTGCTATGGTTAGCAATGGAGGGGGCAGGTAGTGATGGGGATGTTATTGCCATCAGTGTAATTCTTGTATGAGCATAGTTTGTCTATAGGCACAACCAGTCAAAAAGGCAAAAAGCTTGAATATAACATTAAAATATCTTCAACTTAGATTCTACTTTTGATTGGTTGTCCCTGTAGAGTCTGTCTCATGCCCAAATTACTCTTGGCATTAACTTTCTCACTGTTATGAATGAAAATTTAGGTGGTGTAATGGGTCTTGCTAGTTGTCTTTGATCCTCTTCTTCATCCCCACAATTGTTGGTGCCTTGAGGAGTAAAGATACAACAAAATTGGCTTATCAGTTTGTTCATATATACAATTATCTTCATAATTACTATCAAACACTTCTTAACAAACAACTCTGTTTAGCTGGATTGGTTTTAGGAGTGACACTAGTTTTTTTTTTTTTTTTTGACAAATTATGCTTTTGTTTAATTTTGCTGTAACCCTTGTAGGGTAGTATGCTTTTTGTATTTCTTTATTTTCTATGTAATTGATTTCATGATTATTGGTTTAGATTGTGACCATATTTGTTATATTCTTAATATGATGTCTGGATAAGAATCAAAACCCAGGAATTTGGATGCGGAATTTTTTATATGGGACATTTTCATAAAATACAAATAACCCTCTTTCTAGAGTCGCTAAGCGTGTATCACATTAAAATTTACGATCAAATAGCCATTAATTGGTGGAATTGTGTAACGCAGAGGTCATCATCACCTTGGATTTTCATTACTTTTTTATTCACTCATCTATTTTATAAGTTGTGGAGTTGTTATGACTAAGAGTAATTCTATTTTTATCATTTTCTTATTTCGGATATGCAAAAAATGGTTCAATCGAATACAAATTATGTATGTCATAAATGCGAGGTCAATTGTTTCCTTCTTCATTTAATAGAATTATTTTTATCTTTAAAATTGTAAAAGTTGTTCACGTTTTACAAATATATAAAATTAAGCATTAATCTATAATATTGTAATTATTTTTTTCTCTTTGATGTTATCAAATATTAAAAACTACATGTAGACACCGGTCGGATTTGATTGGTTTTGGATAAAAAAAAACTTTACTCAAGTCAAATAAACTAATTATGACATTCCAACTTCCATTTTCGTCTGAAATATTTATCTGATTTGTCAGGTCTCAATTAATATGGCGAGCGGATTGGACAAGTGGTTTTATTCAGATAGATGAGTCGAGTATGAAGGAAAGCTAACATTAGCGAATGGAGGTGGTTGCTAGAAGAATAGAAATGGAAGATAAAATCTATGTGACGATAGTTTTGAGAATTACTCTTAGTCAAATGTAAGATTTTACTTGTCTTTAAAATTTGAAAGCATATGAAAGCAAATAAAGATATGGTTCCTTCTCTCACACACTCACAAACTTACATGTCCTTCTCCCATGGATAGAATAAGTATTTCCATCTCTATCGACCTTGTGTCTCCATCTCTATTAGTACTATGCATATTTGTAGCCAGTACTTATTTTGGAAAGGATTAGATTACAAAAATCTTAAATCTAAAACTGAATCTGATTGTATATATTCATTACAAATTAAAATTTTTAAAACATTGATTTGAAACTCGCTCCGATCCACTTGTTGCACGATTTTTCCTTCTTAGTTGTTGCAGGTTTGATCTACTTTTTTGGAGATGCCCACCCCTATTAAAAATTAGGAATAGAATACTAACATGTCATGTAAAAGAATACCTTAAATATTGTAGTAAAATTTAAAATAATAATATTTTATTAAAAATCTATCCTTAACTTATTTTAGTCTTAAGATTAGATCTATCATCTTTCTTAATTTTTTCTTTAATGCAACTCATTATTTCCTTTCTTTTCTTTCATCGTTATCTCACCTCTCATGGTGAAACTTAAATAAAATAATTAGAGTGGCCAAAATAAAATTTAATAAATAAATTAAATATACAATATTATATTATATATTTAAAATTTAAAGTATAATATCAACTTAAAGTTTACTAGAAATCTTTACCACATATTTAATAATAAATTATTTTTTATTAAGTTTATTATATATATATATATATATATATATATATATATATTAAAAATTTATGTGCTCTACATCTTATTAGAATAATCTTCTCGATACTTAGTGAATGTAGGATTATCTCTAGATTTAAAGAAGATAAATTTTCTTTAATATATTTTAAAAAATTTACAAATTTAATAGTACATAATTAATTTTAATTATTTTTAAACATGCAATCAAATAAAATAAAATTTTAAATGGTTGCAAAAACAAGTTTTAGAACTTCCGTTTCATTGAAGAGAGTCAATCACTTATCAAAGAAGAGTTAAAATATTGTATCAAAAATTAAATTTTGGCTCATATCTTTCTTTAGGAAAGTTATCTCCGGTGCAAACAAAGTAGTAAGAAAATTTATGCTAATTTTCAGTTACATATGTTGCCTAATTGTTTCTACAATATTATCCTTTAAAACATTCCATTATTCTTTTATTGTTAATCATGTAGTCCCTTAAAAGCTAAACACTTATTAACCATTCGTTTAAGGTTTTCATAGTGTACTGGATAGGATATCAGTCGGTCTTAAAGATAAAAGAAGGAATCTGAATACTCCACTCGGCCTTAGCAGGACGAGTACCCTGTCAGTTAGATTAAAAAATAATTAAATCAACTAAGTTAAATAATTAAATTATTATTTACTTAATTACAAGGTTAAAATTAAGGCTGATTCACAAAATCCATTATAATACCCATAATATTGCCTATAAAAGGAAGATAAAAAATACAGATAAAGTAAGGGGTTGACTTTTGAATATAAAATAGTATTTATTATCTAAATCGATACCTAACTTTATTATTAAAGTATCTTTTGCAGGTACACCCCCTACGTCAAATAAAGAAAGACTTATAATATAAAGGAGGACGTCATCTCATTCTGCACTAGAAGGATATTCTGAAGATCAATATTTTCATAATAGGAACACATAGGATTATTATTTGGAAACAAGCAGCTTTTTTTTAAAAAAATATTGTTAGGTACTCTTACAAGTTAAAATTTATGAAATTGAGGTACCACTCTCTTCACACTTAAAGATTAAAGCTTTTTTATTAGATTGATGTATTTTTTTAAAAAAAAAATTACCAAAGTAGTGTAGAATTTGAAATATTTACCGAAGAAAAGTAAATCGTAAACGTAGCATACGATTTATAAAAAGATAAGTAATATCAATCTAATTTGTATTATATACAATAAAATTTAAATAATTAAATTATTAGAATGAAAATATACATACCCGTACAACGCACATTTTGAAACGATTTTTTTGCAGTGGTCTGTATATTAGAGTATATCTTTTATTATATGAGTTTAAGAATATATTATGTTCATTAACGTTAAAATGGAAAAAGATGGTAATGATTAAAAAAAAAGAGGAAAAAAAGGATAGTAATAAAGATCGATTTCACTCATATCCCTTGTTTGTTTCTAACGTGAACGGTAATTAAGATTGATCAATTTCCATACTCTATTCCCTTTGTGGCATGATGTGAAGTGAGGGGATGTTAGGAATTTTAAAGTTTTTGTTGTCTAAAAATAAAACAATTTTTTATTAAGAACAAAGCATTATACTAATTTTTTATAATTATTATAAATTAATTTTGATATAATTTATATTATTATTTTCTGTGAAGGCTAGCATGAGTAAGCATACTAAGTAACTCACAAATAAATTAGTAAAATGACCTGTTATAGCAAGTTTTAAAAATTTAAATATTTAAAAATTAATTCTTGTCACATTTTGGAGATAAAAGATATCAATTTCTTAGATATTTAAAATAGGTAAAATTTTAACATAATTTTTTTTAAGGTTAAGAAATAATGTAATTATTTTTTGATGTGAAACTATATCATATTCTTTCAAACTCATTCTCATCTTTGTTTTTTAAGAAGTCTGATAATCCTTTCTTGCTTGTTCAATTTCTCTTTTTTCTATTTCAATTCTTTCTTATTTCTCCTCCTTAATAACATGTAAACTCGATTCTCATATCTATCATAAACCTATATAATCATTCTCCCTTTCAGTTGTTATACTTTCAATTTTAGGGTTTTTCTATTTGAAAATATCTTATACTCATCTCAATTATCTTAAAAATCATTATTTTTGTTTGATCAAAATAATGTAATGACTAAAGAGATTTTATTGAATTAGAAGAAAACGCACGAACTCATTTCGCTGTAAATTTAGTTTAAGCTAGAGTTATTTGCTTAAGCTAAGTTTAGATAGAGATGAATCTAATTTATTCATCAAATTTGCTTAAGCTAACATACATTCGCTTAAACTGATTAAAGACTAAGATGAATTTAAATTTTTCATCAAAATTAGCTTAAGTCACAACCCATGAGCTTAAGTAAATTAAAGATATATATGAATCTAATACACATTCGCTTAAGCTTATAGGTTATGGCTTAAGCTAAAGCTAAGCTAAGACATAAATTAATCTAAAACTCTCGTTACAATTCACTCAAGTGTATAGTTTAGCTAAAGTGAATTACAACTCAATTAAAGTAATATTTCATTTAAAAATATTAATTATTTTTCTATAAATAGGCTCAAATCCATGTTATGATCAATGATAGTAATAAAATATACTTGGCAAGCACGAAGTTGTAAACATTTTATAAGGTATAATAACATTTTATGTTGTTAGCTTTTGAGGCAAGAATATCATTTAATTGAATTTAACTTTAATTACCATACATCTCCTACATCATGTTAATTTCTAAAAGATTAATCATCTTATTTATACAGGATGACATGATTTGGATTTTGTAAAAAATGTTCAGAACTTAATAATATATAAATAAATATATGGAGAATAATATGAGCATTATAGTAGGAGGTAGTTCGTAAATAAAAGTCTTACTAATAATGGTCTCACTTATCTTTGATTGTTTTCGTAGAACATGAAATATCATAGCTTAGTGATGGTTTCTTTAATGAGTTTACACAATCCCAATATTTCAGGACTGTTCCTAAATCAGCAAAAAACGTGTGTGCAATTTCGTAACATACTGTTACATTTTCGCTTAAGCTCGTACATATTCGCTTAAGCGCATATCATACATAAAGCCTTGAGCATAGAAAACAAATTCACTTCAAGCACTTCATCTCTGCTTCAGCTATTCATATGTAGGTTACCTCTTTACTCCAATTTAGAACAATGCTTAATTTTTCACATAAGCATAAGTTAATATGTTCCGCATAAGCATATATATGGTAACTTCAAGGTTCAGTTTAAACTTAGCTTAAGCGCGCTATTTTTAGCTTAAGCGTGTGATATTTTTAGCTTAAGCTCGATACTTTTAGTTTAACCTAAAATTTATTTGCTGAAACTCTATTTAATTTGCTTACGCTGGACTTATTTTGTTTAAGCTATATTTATTTTACTTAAGCTAGATGTTTATTGCTTAAGCTTTAACTTGTTGGTTTAAGCTAGTATTATAAACTTAAGCGATACACAATCAGCTTAAGTCAGTGACGTAGTAACTTAAGCATTATATCTACAGCTTAAGCGATATATGTTTAGTTCCAGCAAAATAGTAAGCTCTTATCATTTATATAAGCGAGATAATAAATTATTAGCTACTTTATTTTATGGACTCATTCTTATCTTCACCTAAACTATATATTTAAATTTAAAAGTAAAATATATTTTTTTCTATTTGTTAATCACCATAAAATACCAGTAGTCTAACTAAATGTCATTTAATTAATTTGATATCATGTTACTTAGTTAAGTCATATGTTATAGTCACAAATCTCAAACTCAAATAGTAGAGTATAAAAAGTATATTTTTGGTGAATTTTAATTTTTTTTTATTATAATTTTAATTTGGACATCCATTTCAATTATAAAAGCTGACATTAATCCTTTAATATTCAAAATCATAATTAAATAGCTGAAGTCACCGCTGAATAACATATTTTTTATTTCTTAATGATATAACTAGTATTTTTTATAATAATATTGAACTTTTCTTACTATTTCAGCAATAGTATTTGAAAGCTTGAGCCAAATTATCATAAAAATAGTTTACTTATCATTGGATTTATTAGAACGATAAGTAGAATAATGCAGAAGGTCATCAAATTTGTTTCAATTTTTTTTATGATACTATTTTCAAACATTTTAATTACTTTATTTTATTATGAAAATTTTAAAACAAATTTTTTAAATTGATTCTAATAATAATTTTTTAATTTTTAAAAGTTTACAAATATTTATAATTATTGTTGTTTTATTTTATACTTATTTTGATAAGTTTTTTAATATAGTTCATTATATAAAATTTTATAAACAAATTTAAAGTATGAACAAATTATACAAAATAGTTTATTTAATAATAAGTTAATTAAAGTGTGTTCTCAAATAAATTTTAAATTTATGACAAAAGTCTTAATATAAAAAATATATTAATTAAGTAATTAATTAAACTATATATTTTAAATATTACTTTTTATCATATAGAAATGGTTTATATATTAAAATTTATATTCTTTTATAAATAATTTTAACAATAATATCTACCATGAATAAATTCAAATATTTTTAAAAACTTATTTAATTTTTTAATAGCTTAATTCCTAGTATTATAATTTTTATTGTGCTCCTTTTAGACTAATTATTTTTTCATAGCTCCTATGATAAAATTTATATATATATATATATATATATATATACTGTTAAATATCAAGTCTTCTTTATCCATTGAATAAGTGTACATATATTTTTATTCTTGTTGTAGAGTCAAAGGAATATGGTAGCCAGCTCCAGGACCTACCGGATTTGATGAAACATTCAACCCAACCGGACACAAGATTAACTTCTCAAATCTCACTCGTCAGTGTTTGTCTTCTTCGCATAGCAGAGTTTAGTGGCTTTCTGAACTTACGAATGAAGTGCCAAAGATTTCCCTCAATCTTTCAACTGCCCTAGGAATTCAATGGTGCGTAGATTCTATTCTTATCATCGTCTTTCTGTGTACTCATTTTCTTCAATACTTGAGTCTGATTTCACCTTTTTTATCCCTTTAATTGACCCATGTAATTTTGGAACATATTATTAATTTTGCAACTGCTGCTACCCTTTTTCATGACACTACAATTTTCTATTTCAAATTTTTGTAACAACACATTTCTCGCTATCTCCATCTACTTCTTTATCATCTCTTTCTTCCTCTCTCTTTTATTTGTATAAAAAATACAACTTTTTTTTTTCTGTTTTATTGGAGGATTAACATTTCTCTCTCTCTCTCTCTCTTTCTCTTTTATCATGTTAACCTTGTGATTATCTGTTTTTCGCTCCGAAGGTGGTAATTTGTGTGATGAAAATGTTTGTTTTGGAAGATGCATCTAAGAAGATTATGGGTAAAAAGGATTGCTCATTCAAATAACAATATCTATTAATACCTCTATGCTTTGTAAATTTTGGTTCCAATTATTTCTCAATGAAAAGTTAATGTAAATAATGTACTTATGATATATTTGTTAGACAGAAATCATTGGCAATACAGGCCCAATGAGGGAGAGAAAATGCTTGCATTTGATATATTTAAAAACGATTGTATTGTAGCTACTTATTTATGTGTAAGTGGAATTATTTGCTTCCTCTCTTACATTTTGGTAGTTGCTCACATTATTTTTTTGTGGTATCAATGTTAAATACGGTGATGGTAGATGATGTCATTAATCCTAGTCTTATTGCAGCATAAGAGAATTGAGCAAGTAACGGGCCTATTTGAAAGAGGTTATGAATAACTTATGGAAAACAACTTACGACTCCCTCAAGTTGTTTTCAACGTATTTTAATAAATTTCTTGAAATAGCTTATGAAAAAAAACTATTTTTAGCTTATCTCAATAAGTTTCATTGTTAAATTTATGCCATACGCTATTGTTTAAAAATAGTTTATTGAATAAGCGTTTAATTAAGCACTATTCCCAAACGCATCCTAAATATATATGACTGTGTGTATAATGATGGAAGCAGCACTATTGCACCTCCCCCTCCCCTGCACACCTGTTCTTCTGTAATCAATTTCATTTTGGAAGAATAATACATAATTTCAATTATCCGCCATTTATTCACTATGGCTCACAAAGACAGCTGAATCTTGTAGTCTTTTGTCAAAGATTTTTGGTTTCATTTATGTGATGATATTAGTGCAGGACACTGGATAAACTTGGCTACTTTTGGTTGGAATGATTTGAACTAAAAATCAAAATTAGAAAAGAGAATGTTAGTTAGAATTTCAGTTCTCATTCAGGTGTCTTTAATATCAAACTTGTCTGTTATTAACAAACTGCTGCTATACATCAGGCTACACCATTTTTAGCTGGCCTTGCTGTAGCTGCTGCAGCTCTTGCCGGCAGGTATGGTATCAGAACATGGCAAGCATTCAAGGCACGGCCCCCAAAACCCAGAATGCGTAAGTTCTATGATGGTGGTTTTCAACCTACAATGACAAAGAGAGAAGCTGCTCTGATATTAGGCATCAGGTAACCTTGATATTTGATTGCTTATGGGTGGTTTTAGTTAAAATTCTAGCCCTGATTGTCCATCTTATACTTCATCAAATTGCAGTTTTGTTATTTGTTGGTAGAAACTAACTCTTGAAGTTAAATGACCAAATGTATGATGTTTGAATTCATGTTGTGTTAGACTTAGTTAAGTTGTTGAATGTTGAACGTTTTCTTAATACTTTCTCTCCTAAGTCTTGCTAATTGATTATATTTTCTTATACTAGTAATCAAACATGCTCAACAATAGTTGATGTTCAGGTAGGTAGGTGGTTGTTTTGATGATTTTGGGTGCTTCAGGTGTGGTTCTGGAGAGAGTGCTAGTGAATTGAGCTAGTTTAATGAAGTTGAAACTAGTTACTCCTTTTGCTCCTAAATATTCTATAGGTCTAAGCTTGTTCCAATTTATCTGTTACTTGATAAATACATAATTTTCTATATTCTAAGCAGTAATAAGATTTGATTACAAATTTACAGTCTAATTCTGATGCAAATTTAATTTGCTATAATCTGATTGGCAATCAGATTTGATTACAATCTGATTCTAATGCAGATTTTATTACAAAATCATATCAAGTAATGACTCACAACAACCCTCCCCCCCCCCAGCTGGATATCCAGCATGCCCAACTTGCTTACAAGGAATTCAAAGTTTTTTCTGAAAATTCCCTTGGTGAGAGTGTCAGCCACATGTTGTGAGGTTGGAACAACGGCATACAATTCCAGTATCTAGCTTCTCGTTAATGAAGTGCATATCAATCTCCACATGTTTGGTCTCATCATACTTCACTGGATTTTGAACATGTTTATTGCTGTTATCACTGTATAGCTTCATGGGCAGATTAAAAAACATTCCTAAATATTCATACATGCTCAATGATAGTTGATGTTCAGGTTGGTAGGTGGTTGTTTTGATGATTTTGGGAGCTTCAGGTGTAATTTTGGAGAGAGTGCTTCTAGTGAAGTGAACTATTTTACTCCTTCTGGTCCTTAATATTGCAGAGGTCTAAGCTTGTTTCGATTTATCTGTTACTTGATAATATTAAGGTCATAGTAATTATTATATTTCCATTTTTTCCCTCACCTTAGCCATACTTATTCGATATACTAATAACTACATGCATAACTTTTGTTATCCAAAATTGTCTATGCTAGTAAAATCTTATCTCTTGCAGTCTTGCAATTTTAAATTCATTTACTTTTCCCTATAATCGTATGATTTGTATCTTTTTTCAATACGATTCCTGGATCCATCGATACAGACTGCAAGTTGTATTGATTTTGACCTCAAATATTGCGCTTGGATTGAATCTGAATCATGCTTGCAACTCTGGGATGAGTTGTTTGATTCATGCACAGTCAGGTCACACACATAAATGGGTTGAGTTGAACACAACTCAGTTCTGGAAAGCATGATTTTAGGGTTTCTTTTTTGCAATTATTTTTCAAGGTTGGAAGGAAAGGGATGAAATCTTTCCTTAAGGTTGGAAACTTGGAACTGAACTGAATTTGGTGAGACAGACAGTGTAACAGTGCATAGCTGAAGATTGAAGATGGAGGGCAGGTTTCATTTTCTTTTCCTTTTTTGGGGTCAAAAACAGCATTGCATCCGAAAACCAAAAGGACACAAAAGACCAATAGAGGCCCAAAACCTGAATGACACAGCAGGCACTTACAAACAAAAAGAAAAGCACTAATTGCTGATAAGCATGCTTTTGCTTCTTTATTTTTTCAGGTCAAACCTGTATGCATGAATGAGGACAAGCTCCATCATGGGCCAAGGTGATTTGAATTGATTGGATCAGCCCAATTAATTCATTACTGCACTCGAGGCTAAAGTTGATTATAATGAATACGATAGTTTAAGGATTTGAAACCTAGATCATAAAATCCTACCAAACATAAAAAATTATACGTAACATATATATATGCATAGAAAATAACATAAATAGGGAAACTAACCTCCAAATCATGTATTTCAACTAAACATAGACTTAAAATACAACCCATAAAATACATATGCTTTTGCTATCTACATTTTGGTTGCTTCTTTTCATGATTTTTTGCTCTCTTCTATGTTTTTTGCATTTTGCTAGATTTTTGTGCCTGACATGGAGGATCTAAGCAACATCCTACCATCATAATAGTTAATCCTAGATAGCAGCGTGGAGTGGCTAACTCCAAAAACACTATAGCGGGATGACTGCTATTCTGACATTTAAATATTTCGATTTAAGAAACTTGAACCTAACTTACTCCCAAAAGCTAACTCATAGGAAGAGGACTACATAAGTCTTTATGAGGAGTAGTATGTCTCTATTTTTACCAATTTGGAACATCTTAACATTATTCATCATCACATTCTTCTTTTTGTACAATTTCCTTCATTTTTCCCTTCGATGTAAAGGTAGAAGCAATTGTAGTTGTCTTGCTTGTTGATCTAGCTTGCTGCCTAGTGTAGGTTATGTAATACCTCATTTTCTATAGACTTGTCTATCAGACCTGGTAGTGTAAACTTAGCAGCAATTGTGTAACCATGCTGAAAAAAGGGAAAGATTGTCTAAGTAAATTTATTGTAGAAATAGTTTGAATGATTATTGGTTGATTAAAATTGGTTTGAATCAATTCTGACCCCAATTGGGGATGTTCGGTGACAGTCCTCATACTTGCTGATAAAATTCTGCAGCCTAACAGATTGGAGCCCGTCAATGTTTTGTCAACAAAATGATGTTTCGGCTAGTAGGGAATTGAGTCTTCCAATCACTTCCAACGGATGATGGTTGCACAATGCATAAGGGATTGGCTGTCGACAATATGATGTTTTGGCTAAGCGTCTATACTAGTAGAGAATTGAGTCCTCCAATCGCTACCAACAAATGATGGTTGCGCAATGCATAAGGCATTGGCTTATTTGGGTAATGTAAGAAAGTAAATGCATAATTGAACTTGCATCATTCATTGCATTGCATGTAGTAAGAGCATAATTGAACTTGCACCATTCATTGCATTGCATGTAGAATATGTGTTTGATAATGTGTTTAGAATTTCAAGTCTTTGATATTTGTAGTAATTTTGTTAAGAGAGTCTACTTGTGGAATAGATGTGAGAACTAGACTCACCCCTTTGTATTTGCTTTCCTTTTTCTCTCCCCTCTGTGAGCACAACATGATTCCAACTTCAAGCGCACAACATTGAAAGCAATTCTATTCCTACAAATGAATCACTCTATGTATTGAATTGTTCTTCCTTTTGCCTCCTTGACATAAGTATTATGTGTTTGACATTTTTTCCTCTGTTGGTGGCAGTAGAGCCACTAACATAAAAACTGATGTTTGCACCTCTTCTTTGTCATTATCATCTTCATCAAGCTCAACTAAATGTCTCTTTCTCAACTTTCTTCTTCTCATGAGCTATTGCTATTAGTGTTTCTTTTACTAAATGCACTAGCTTTTTTTACTAGTGCCTAGTGAACATTGCAATGCTGATGCCTTGTTTGTGGCTAGGAGACATGATGAAATGCTTTGATACTAATTGATAAGAATCTTAGGAGAACCACACTACAAAGTTGGTTGTTGTAGTTGGAGAGCTCAAAGCCTTAAAAACACCACATTAGAATCTCATGCTTCCAATGTGCGACTTTAGTCAATACCTTGCAATTGAATCCTAACATGTAGTAAATTTGCAAAGATTAAGATGGGAAATGTTGAAAATCCAATTAGAGATAAGAGGTTTTGGAAAAATAACATAAATTCCTTGAAGGGTGGTTATCTCTTAATTAGAGTGTTGTGCTTGGTGGATTTAGAAGATAAGCTAGCCATGAGATTCATCTATGATAAAATGGATTGAGCCAAAGAGAAAATTCAAATTAACTTCAATGGTGTTAAAAAACGGTCTAAAACAAATTAGTCCTTTCAAGCAATTTATAGTCTTAATTTGGAAACTATTCAATTTGTTTTTCTCTCTATAGTTTCATACCTCTATCGGTGATAATTGATGAACAATGGGACAATCAATTGCAGACCTTAAATCGACAATTTATAGTCTAATTGCCAGTGTTGTTAAAATTCCATCATGGCGGCGCCATGGCAGAATGGCGTGGCGGTTTAGACAGAACCCGTTACAACAATGGCGTGGCAGAAATGCATGATGGCGCCATGGCGGTATGGCGGTAACGGCGACCATGGAGGAAACGGCTGAATATGGCTTTTTTTGTTGAAAAATGGGTTTTTCTGCAATTTTGGGCCAGCAACCCGACCTGGTCCAAATAACATAATCTTAAAGTCCAGGTTTTTCCCTCTCTTCTCCCTGGGATCTCACTCTCTCTCTCTGCAGTCTCTTTCTGCTCTCTACTCATCTCTTCCTCTCTGCTCTTTATCGAGATCTCACTCTCTCTCTCTGCTCTTTGGTGAGATCTCTCTCTGCACTTTCTGAGATCTCTCTCTGTGCCAAGATCTCTTTGTCCTGGCCTCCTTGGATTTCTATTTTGGTGCAGTTCTGTCTCCATTTCCAGTGACTGTACCTCCATCTCTGGCGACCTCAACCTCCATTTCCGGCAGCTGGTCCTCTATTTTTGGCGAATTCAACTTCTATTTCCAGCAACTAGTCCTCCATATGACGGAAGGGAGCCATCCCAAACCAAAGGAAGAGATGGCCCACTAAAAGAGAGAGAGAGAGATGGATATTGGAGAAGATAGCTTGAACAGAAGTGGAGAAAGAAAAAAGGATTAGAGAAGTAGTGTGATAAGACTATTTTACCCTTAAAAAAACTTAAAACATAGAGCAAAAAGGGAAAGCTAATTTTTTTTAAAAGGAAAAGGTCTTTTTACTCTTATAAAACCGTAAAAAATGTGGGATAGAAGAAAAGTAAATATTTTTATTGGAACCCTAAACAGAATAGCGGAAAAAGAGATAAATAAAAAAAAGATAACATAACAAAAAATTTAAAAATGTTTATTTTGTATTGAATTATGGGTGAAGCTACTTGTGTTTTAATTTTTTTTCCTATAATTTCTTATTATCTATATATATTATTTTTTATATATTTATTATAGCCGCCATAATTCTGTCATAGCTCGCCATGGTGGCCGCCATAATTTTATGGCAGTTTTTTGTGTTTTTGCCATGATCCCATCCGCCATTGATAACATTGCTGATTGCACATTCCTCAAATTGACAATAACATGGATTGGGTTAAAGTAGTAGCTTGCTTCATGTAAAGGTGTACTTCTGATGTTCGATAAATGTTGATATGTAAAATACAGAATGGATTCTGGATTTTCATATTTTGTGGAATTGGTATGTATGGAAGTCAAAATCATTATAATATTCTATATGTCATTGAAGTAAACTTGGTTCAATGAGTTCATTGGTTTCAAAATAGTGGTGAAAAAAATCATATAAGAGTAACATCTAGTAACCATGAGCACCCAAAGTCATTATTATTATTGTAAATTTTGGTGATGGGACAAAAAATGTTAGAAAAGAAAGGGGTCTATGTTGCATATATTTAGGCTCTACAAGACATCTAAGAGTATATGCATTGTAGGTTTAACAAAAACAAGATGAGTATCATGTGTTGAAAGTTAAAATTAAAGATGATATTATACCACTTTCCAATTTAGGTACTTGATATCAATTATACATATTGATGAAAAAATTAATAAAGATGTTACTTAGAATACAAGCTGAGTGGTTAAAGTAGATAAAGACATCAAGAGTTATTTTTGACCTTAAAGTAGCTATAAAGTTGAAAGAAAAGTTTTACCGTACTATAGTACGATCAGCTATCTTATATGATAGTGAACTTTGGACCTTAAAGGAAATACAAGAAAAAAGTGGGAATTGCAAACATGACAATGCTTAATGAGTGGACACCTGAGAAAGGACATGATACAAAATGATTGTATACAGTAAAATATTGAAGTAATACTTATAGTGGAAAAGATGATTGAAAATTGTCGAAGGTGATTTGGTCATGTGTAGAGAGGACCTTTCTTTGGAGGCATCTGTAAAGAGAGTGAATTGTATGACTCTTAGTCCAATAAAGAGGGGTTGAGAGAGATTCAAAAGAACCTTAGATGAAGTTATTAAAAAAGACTTTTTTTTGATTAATCAGAATTTTGAAATTTGGTTTTTTACTAAGGTCAACGGTGTTGTGTGATCTATGTAGTCAACCTCACTTAATGAGGTAGGACTTGATTATTGTTATTGAATAGAAAATGTTAGCTTTATATTTTAATCATTCATATGCTATTGTTTGATGAAACCCCAAGTATCTTGGGCAAAGAGATGCATAATACATCTAGTGTAAACCAAGGAAATTATGGGGTTTCCTTCATGGAGATAAGGTGTCCTTTAGTGTCTCTACATGAGAAGTAGTCCATATCGTCATATTGGGAAACAGAATTGTTGTTGCAAAACCCATAGATTGGTGACCAGCGGGTTCACATGTAAATCCTAATGATATATGAATCCTCCAGCTATATAGGGTTGTCACTTCTTTGAACTCTTGTCAAAGGTCTATCTGTGCAACAAAAGTCATCAAGAACATTTAAATTATTCTGCCTCTGCTTTTTATATTTATAAAATGTCATATGGACAATCAAAATTTTCTTTTTGTCATACTGAATGACTATTGATATTCATCACCCTCCTTTTCTGCCGGTGAAAGTAAATCTGCTGCTGCTCTTATCCTATAAATTCATTTCTAGGCCTTGTGCTTTTGCTACTTCCAAGACCAAAATGTTGGTCTTGTCTTTGTCATGAAGTTTTCTGAAGTTATGATGTTCCGTGATTCACCAGGGAAAGTGCAACTCCGGACAAGGTGAAGGAAGCACATAGAAGGGTAATGGTTGCAAACCATCCTGATGCAGGTGGAAGTCATTATCTGGCTTCCAAAATAAATGAGGCAAAAGATGTTATGCTTGGGAAGACAAAGGGAAGTGGATCTGCATTTTAACACATTTTCAATATCTTAATTCTGGACATTACCCCCGAGTATACATAGCACCGTTACTTTGTTTCAAGGAATTCATTTAATTCATATATATTGTGGCCTGCCGTGATTTTTGGTTCTTGTGGATGGTGGCAAACTGAAGTTCCTTCCTTTCTCCTTGCATGTCCATTGCAGATTCAAACTTCTCATTGGTGCTATATATTTAGTTCCTGTCAGAAATTGCAATAAAGAGTGGCAATGAAATACCGTATATGGTGGCAGAAGTGTGTTGTACAGTTTTTGTCGTTGTTGTTAATTATGCTAACCTACGTTACATTTTTTATGACATGAAGTTCTGGTGGCCGCCTTAATTTGTCATTGAAATGATCACCATTAGAGTGAAAGCCTCATGCTCAAAATCCTGTTACTGCCATGAAAGGGAATCTGAATCAAATACTCGTTTTATGGTTCATTTGGGAAATAATGTTAATGTTCTACAATCTACGTAATTCGTCAAATCGCGTTATTTTGTCAATCAATAGTAGTCGATTAATTGCTTTGTCATTTTACCATAACTTTTGTACTTATAGGGGAATTTGATACGTATGTGAAGAGTACAAGTGTGACTGTTGGATTGGGGTCGGACGTGTGGATTAATTTTTAAATATATTATAATAGGTGGGTAAACTAAACGATTCGTTAAAAATGTATTGAAAATTTTAACATGTTCATGACTCCTTTAATAAAAATTATCTAGCTCCATTTATTAATTAACTTTAACTTACTCACTTTAAATTATATTGCAAGTTGGCGAGGGAAAGCCTAAATCAACATGACTATTTAAGTGCATTTGGAGTATCCTTTTAGCTCAAATTAACAAAATGTTCCATGGGTTGTCCAAGAAAAACAAAAGAGGAAAGCACATAGTGAGGGTTGGGGACCAAAACCTAACCGAACAACGTTATTGAATGACATGATCGGATTGTTAAAGTTCAATGGAACGAAATATGAATATAGAAGGATGGGGTGCTTATGTACTTGCCTTGGTGAACTCTCAATCTAATTTCTCTAAATCTTTTGAAATGAAAGAAAAAAGTGTGTTTGGATGTTAAGTTTTAGAATGAAAGGGATAAGAGGCTAAATTTTACATTTTTAATAAATGCTTTTAAATTTTGGTTGAGCTAACGTAAGTTAATATGTCATATAACTTATTCATGAATTAATAAAATGACTTACTATAACATGTTGATATTAAGTTATTAAATATTTTATTATATAAATTTAATTGTTCACAATTTATGAACTGATAATTTTAAATTATTGTCTTTAGATTCAAATAAAAAAGTGAATCGGATAAGCAACAATAACTCACTAAACTAAATTATCTATTGCATAGCTAATTATTCTTTTCCAATTTGACCTAAATTTACCGCTACACTCATAATCATGATGCATTAAAACCTGACACATCAGGCAGCCATGTCGAATCCAAATTACATTAAACAAAAAGAGAACCATTTTATTTTACAACTTCACAAAGACGAACACTTCAACAATAGGAATTTGTCCAATCTTCTTTAAAGTTGTCTTCCTAGGTTTTTGGTCTACTCCAATTGCCATTATAGCTTGCTTGAGTGGAGCAATCCTTCCTACACTCATGAAGCTGACATTCTGATAACCCAAAATACTTCAAACCTATAGAGTATGATGCCACCTTCCAAACTCACATCAACTTCAAAAGATTCAATCTTCGTGAGATGGGGATACTATTTTTCACCCAACCCTCAACCTTGATCTCCCTATATTCTAATATGGCACTAGGAAATCAAGATTCCAAATTAGCATTCTCCCTTGCGAATTGCAAATTATTTAAAAGTGGCATTATCAAGTTACAACAATAAATTATATCCATTATTTTTTTTTTCTAGATTTAATGGCTATCACGTTCTAACTTACTTATGCACTATTTAATAGCTAACTCTCACATTCTTAGTGTAATATCCTTATTTTATATAAAATTATAAGAAAATAAGTTATTAGTTAAAAAGGAATAATTACTTCAAATTCATTTGTGAGTCGAGTATGAAACATGTAACTATAGAATATTTCATTGATTTTCCTTTATACTTATAGAAATTTAGAGAAATAAACCCATAGAAATTAAACAAGTTAAAAAGGAAACATGAGATAACATTAATAAATATATGGTTCTGAAGAGTTTACAGTAAACTAATCTTATCAAATATATATCAAAATACATTAGGACTCACTTTTCAAAATTTACAAAATACAAAATATAATAAGTTCTAATGAGTAATAAATCTATCACACAACCAGAGAGATACTAGTCGTCCCCGTGCCATCCCTCTATCATCGCGATATCATCAGAGTCGAGATCATTATTCAGATACAGGTCACCAGGGTCCGCAATAACCTGAGCACCAGTATTCGCTCATACGTCCAATGAGATGGCCTTCCAAAATGATCGTGGTCATGATATATGAACAGGTAGGTCAAAGCTGTTGGCGTCCTCACAGTACCAGGAAATATATATACACAAAGAGTATGATGGATTCTACTTGAAGAGAAATCAAAAGGACACTAAAAGCTAATTCCATTTCCATCATAATAGTATTACTAGGTACATCATTTACATCTATAGCAATTCTAAAGAAACAAAGTCTTTGATACTCATTAAATACATAATTCAGTCTATTAGTTACAGAGCTATCTACTAATCTAATCCTCTCGGTGGGTGCTATCATCTGGGTTCCCTGAAATGTTTATGTAAGGATGAGTCTCTATTTATATTACCAAGCATACATTCACACAGTAAAACAAAGGTAATAGAACAATCAATCATGTTACAAAGTCATACTCATATTCATGCAAAAATCTTTTAGTATTCAACTTATTACTCTTCATCTATTTCTCAATACTTTGGATTCTTATTTCACTTTCATTGCCCCTGGGATCCTTCGAGGTCTTCCTTAGCATAGATAGTCGCTGGATAGCCGCAGCTACACAGATACAACGTGTGCCAACCCAGCTCCCTTTTAGCAAAAGCATGGTTAGGAGTATTAGTCAGGAAACGAGTGTGAGGCCTGTAGTGCTCCTACTCTCATTTGATTTGTGCAATTCAAGAGGAACATCCACCACCCTCTTTTCCTCAAGACTTTTTAGTCGTCTCCATCTTCCACACTCCTAGTGTACCTCTGAACTATCCATACTCATCCTTATCATATACCATTCTCATTTCACTTTTTCTTTCCATATTTCCTATCTTATCTTTATATTTCTCACTATCTATTTATTCACATATGATTCATGCTTTTATATCTTTCTTTTACTTTAGTTCATTATTATATCACACATAAATAAATCATTGCCGAGAGTTATTCTCTTCAGATTCAGTCCACTATGTACATGCATATACAGTCAAAATAAAAATCATACACATCATCAAACATCACAAAACAGGCTTCAAATATAACAAAAAATGCTTTCATCCAACCTACACTTAAAATCATACATTTCATTACAACATCTTCATGAATATAAGCATTCCACTTCCTTAGTAACAAAATAGAACTTTCCTTACCTTGAAATGAAGGTTTAGTAAAGGGTTTTTGAGAGATCTTGCTCAAAAGGCTGAGTTCTTCCTAAATATCACAATAGTTTCTCTTTAGACAAGGAAGAACAAGAAAATAACCAAAGAAATGGAGAATTAAGCTCTAAAAACTTACCAAAGAACAAGGGAAATGATCCTCCAAGCTTTAATCGGAGAAAAGTTGAGGTTTTTCAAGGATTTGCTGAGAAAATGAGGAGAGAAGTCAGAGAGAATGTATGAGAGTTGTGACTTGGATTATAATCCAAGTTTCTTAACTTGGAAACCCTTAAATACCCCTCAATTCGCGATATTCTCGCTACAGCGAAAAAATCAGACAAAATTACACTTTACTGTCTGTCATTTTAGCTACAGCACAGCGAGAGCTCCTCGCTACAGCGATAAGATCCTCACTACAGTGTGAGAGAGCATCAGAATGCCTGATTTTAGACACTGATTTCTCACTACAGCGAGACATATCTCGCTACAGCAAAAAATCCTGCAACTTAAACATCTAAAACTCTCCTAATTTTAAGCAACATACATTATCAACTCATACCAAATACAAAACTAATAAATAATAAAAATAGGGGTGTTACGCTTAGCCTAAGCCATAAAAATTTTATGATTTTTAAATAAAAGAAATAAAACAATACATTAGTATTTTTTTAATCTGTTTACTTTTTTCATTTAACTCCCAAACATATCCTATTGAGAAATTTTAACTAGAGGATTGAAGCAATAGATTTTAAAATGCCATGACCTGGATGGATTCGTGCATGGGTTACCCGCAAGAGTGATTTCAGCAAATATGTCACAGAATTTCATTAAAATGGTGGATTGGAATTGTGGACAAATGGTTAATTCATAGTGTTTTTACCCAATTCATTAAATAGTAATATTAATATAACTTCTCGTGTAAGTAAAATCAATTTATATTTTTCTATTTCTTAGAAGCTATTTTCGTTTAACTTCTTTAAAATTTGAAGAAATAAATTAAAATTTTAATTTATAAAAAAAAATTATTATTATTTTTCTTCTCTTGTAACACTTATTTACAAGGTCATCCAAACTAAGTCTTAATTAATCCTACATAAATGAAAGTATTCTAACTAAAAAATAAAATGAAACATCATGTAGAACTATTCATGTTCAGTTTAACACATGGATTTTTTAAGAATAAAATAGAGTTAGAATAATGTGTAAATTACACACTCTTTTGTTGTAATAATTTTTTTTGTCTGCTTCTTTTATTAATTTTGTTCTAAATTTTAGAAATAAAAGTTATTATTTAACTTTCTCTTTTTACTTTATATAAATTTTTAATTTTGTTTTGCAAATATCTTATATAAAATTTATAGTACTTAATATATTAATTTTAATATTTTAAATTTTATAGTTTTATTAATCTTTATCATTTTAGTATATACTATTTGTAGTTATAAAATTAGTTAAAGTAATTTTTTTAAAAAAAATTAATGTTTCAAATAATTATATAAAATATATATAGGGGCATTTTAAGTAAGAGGTGAGAGACATTAATAATGATTATTGATAAGAGAAAGAAGAAAGTGGATAGTGGGGTAGCAACATCAAATCTAAGCTTTTTATTTTGATCTAATGGCTATTGTTAATGTCTCTCATCTCTCATAATAACAAACTCCTCTCACTTGAATATATATATATATATGAGGAAGGATCTTCTTACACCAGTGTAAGTCTAAAAACTCTTACACCCAATCTGAGTCTTTAATTTAACTTAAATCTAATGGCCAATGAAGTAATAAATTATAAACCGTTAGATTTAAGTTAAATAAAAGGCTCAAATT